TGTAAGAGTAGTTAAGCACTGCAACAACTTACCTCTGCCAAAGACATTTGATTGTCATCTCCATTTCAACTTCTGATACACAGATTGACATCCTTTCATCCATTCAGCTGCCTCTTTCTGGTCACAGGCTTACAACAGTTTTGCAAAATATGCAGTCTTCTCTAATTACACAGAAGGCAAAAGAAGAGGGAAAGAAAAGAAGAAATAAGCTGGGGAAGGAAAAGGGCACATGGTGGGTGGATAGAGAGATGGGAGGAGGGGGAGAGACATCTCACATGACAGGCAATGTTTAAGATTCAGCCAGAGCTGGCAGTATTAGCTGGGTCCTTCTCTCTGGCCTGGACTGGTCAGGACATCTTTCAGAATTAAGACAAAGATCCAGGGTCTCAGGAGATGATGGGCAGCCAAGATCGTGACGCTTGCTCCCATGGCCAATATTTCTCCCCAAAGTCTTTCTTTAAAAAGACTCCAAAAAGTGGTGATAGGTGAAATAGCCCATCCGCTCATTATTTTGTCCACCAATTAGGTCTAATATCTGAAATGCCAATTTTGGTTTGTTAGTCCTCAACTCCTTTGGTTTATCAGGCATGGTTTTAAACACAGTCCTTGAGTTATATCAGTAGGCCTTTTTCTTTGGACTAATTCAGTCCCCCTTTCCCATCAATGTTTGTTATAGGTTATTGTGACATCTTGTGAACTTTCACTTACTTTTTACTGTTGAGCTCACAATTATGGTAAATGTGTAGCATCAATTGTTACAACACTTCCAAGGATATAAAAGAGGAAGTGGCCCCTACGACCCCTCAGTTCCTTCCACTAACTGAAGAATTCCTAACCTGAGACTCTGAAGTGGGGAAGGTGGACAGGGAGTGTAAACATGCAGAGGTTCATCTCAAAGAACTCTGTTTACAGATATATTTTAATGTTTTCCTTTGAATGGCCTTTGCATATTTCTACTTGTGGGAGTTTAATTGTGGGAATTTAATTAGTACAACTCCCAAAGAGATAGACTGAGAAGTTCTAGGTAAATAAGGACAGAACTCTGAAAAGAAGCATTGGCTCTGGATGCCAGGTCATGACTGAACGAAGGCAACTAAAAGTCTCATTCTCCCCAAATCAAATTTTAACAAGGAAGAATTTTTGCTAAAACCATATAGTTATCGTAACAGTACCACAATAATGCAATGAAGATAGCATGAGGGGATGCCACAGAACCTGAACGAGGAGTGACATTTCCAGGCAGCTGACCCTGTTGGGTCATAGTTGTAAAACATATAGTGCATTTTACATAGATAACCTTTAGACCATGACTGACTGACTCCTCTTGCATTAGCTCCATTGCTCCAAGAGCTTGGGGAAACTTATAGATATGCTTCAGACCCATATAGATATTCAAGCAAAAATTCAAAAATGCTAGTGAGGCTCAGGGACATTCAGACAGGCTACTGGCTGAAAGAGATGAAAATCAAGGCATCTTCGACAGTTGGGAGGCAGATACAGACAAGACCACCTCTTCTGTAAAAATGTAACTTAAAAGGAAATAGTCATTAGGCTTGTATCTCAGTAAATCTCTAAGCTATCAAGAATGGCATCTTCCTAGAGATATAGTACAGAGAACAACCTGACCAATGTTTAATAGAAGCCTATGAGCTTGATGTGGATAAAAATTACAATCCCTTAGGTTCATGCGAGAAGGGAACACCCAAAGAGCGTGACCAATGCACCTATTCTGCCGTATTGGCAGTACATCTCAAGCGTTACACTCGTGAATTTGGTCTATTTTTTTTTAAACTCTCAAAGAAAAGTAACTACCCCCAAACACTTTAGTTACACAGAACAATCCTGTCATTCATAAGGTGCAGAAAGGATGTCAATCTGTGTATCAGAAGTTGGAACAGAGATGACCATCAAATGTCTTTGGCAGAGGTAAATTGTTCCAGTGCCTAACTACTCTTACAGTTAGGAGTTTTTACTAATGTCTAACCCAGTGGTTCCCAAACTTTAACAACTTGTGAACCCCTTTCATTAAAATGTCAAGTTTTCCGAACCCCCTCCTAAAAATGAATATTTCCAGGGATTTTCTCCTTTACCTGAGTATAAATTATAAAAGCAGTGATCTTGGAAATATAAAATTTGTTTTTAATGACATGCTTATTGCACACTATTATTATTATGTATCATTACAGTATTTTTATTACATTAATAAAACAGCAACACCCTTCTAAGATCTCACTTTTGTAACATATATCACTTTGAATAAGCCTGTTATATGACAAGGCTCCTATGTTTCATCAAGGAGTATCAGATGTGAAACAGCAGGAAGGTTTTTAAGAAGCCAACTCAGAGTTCCTCCTGCACAAGCATTCAGGCCTTGAGCAGTCCAGGCAAACAACGCAGGTTACAACCAAGCTTAAACTTGTTCTTCATAATAATTTTAAAAACAAATACTAGTTACCTATTTAATTTTAAAAACAGAAAAAAATATCCACCTCCCTTTCTATTTCGCATAAGGAGTCTTGAAGTTTAAATCTCCTCAGTGTGATAGATATGCTTGCTTTGATCTGCTTAGCTCTTGGAAGTCCAGGGGATCCAGGCTGCAGACCCCATGCTGCCTGGGGTCCCTAGAGACAGCTCTGTTCACCATTAGGGAATTTTTTCCCCCGAGAACACCGTAACATTTTGTGAACCCCAGTTTGGGAACCACTGGTCTAACCTAAATCTCCCTTAAATTGCAGCAAGAGAGATTTAGGATCTAATGAGAGATCCAAGGAAATCCGTGGTAAGGTAAGGATGGGCACCCCTCTTTGTTTGTACTACTCGTACATGGTTGCTACCCAAGTCACTACCCAAACCTAAACATTGCATACTACATGGTGGACTGAGACCTGGACCTGAAAAGTTTGGAGCTAGTTATAATTAGAGACAGGTAGCCCACAGTGTCAATAAAATTAGCTCCTATGAGAGGAGTCACCTGGATCTGTCAGTGTATTTTTGATGTTGGATATCAGAATGGTTCTCAGTCTCACATATACAGTTCTAAATCTAAATAGGACCGTCAGCACTCTATTCTCTGAAGAACCTTAGCAATGTGCCTTTAATTCCCTGAAGAAACAGCAACCCTTGAATGCAAAAGCAAAAAAGAGGCTCTGAAGTCAATAGGCAGGACTTTCTGAAGCAGACTGATTCTATGACACAGGAACCTGTTTTTCCTATGGAGGCTGCATAGCAGAGAAATCTTTGGGTCCATGAGATCTCAGAACTGATAGAACTGTGGTGAGTATATGACCCTCAAATCCTAAGGGAGCCTCTGATCCAAGCACCAGTTCTCAGCAGCTGTATTCTCGTAAACCTGGTCCGGGGCAGCTGAATTTCTACTAGACTTACCCATCATGGACTTGCTGGAAACCCAAGAGAACCGGAAAATGTCCTACCCAGAACTAAGGGAACTGACAATTTCAGAACCAAGTAAACTGGTATCCAAGACTTCAGACAGTATGGGGCATGGTACTTCAGTCTGCATTAGAGGGGTGTAAATTTTAATCCATACCAATTAGCCTGCTTGGACCCTGCAGGTGTGCACTAAAAGTTCCCTAGGAGCATTAATGTAGTACTGTTTGAAACTGGACTTACAAGAGTCTAAGAAGGGATCTAGACCTTTCTTTTTGCCTAGAAGGAAGGGCCAGACAGATGGGGCACCAGAAGGGGAAAATCCCTCTCCCAGACAAGCAGGTCATCTGACAATGGCCACAGAGGAAGCACAACATTAAAACTCTGCACTGTAACAGAATCTAGCATTCCAGGTCTGATCAGAAGCTTTTAACGTACTTTCCCTTATCCGTGTTGTGAGGACTGCCACAGAGGATCTGCTTCCTAACGCTGCTATGTTGGGCATAGAACCAGAAAGGCAAACAATTCTGCAAAGATTCTGGAACTTGCAGTAGCGGACCACACCAACCTGGGTAGATTCAGGGGGGGGTCTCAGTGATAAAGAATCACTAGACAAATTGCTCACAGAGATATCAGATCCTCACGATGTTTGGATCCTGGACAAACTGATTCATTCTTGGCAGTCCTTCAAGTTTGGCTGTTGAATCTGAACTCACGCGATGACCCTGGATTCATGTTCACCTGCTAGATCCAAATGCAGGATTGCTCTTGGCTCTGAATGCAGATCCATACTCGTCAGCCAGATATCCATACTCAGCATTTTTGTTGTTTTTCCTCTGGATCCATATCTGGGTTTTGCATCCCTGTATCTATCCTCTGTTGCAGGATCCACTCTCTGCAGATCTAACTCCTTTGGAGCACAGATCTAACAGCCAAAGAATCACTTTCAGTGTATAGCTAGGTCTCTAAAAGTCAACATGGATAAACTCAGGGACCTGACAAAGCTTGTGCCAGAGGGGAATATTTTTTTAAATATTTTTTAATTTTGCCAGATTGACTAAGTGGAAACAAAATTTTCTCTAAAAAGCCAGAAAGATTTAAAAAAAAAAAACTAACAAAGAAAGCAACAAGGACACCGTTTGTATGTAATCCGAGCTCACTGCACCTTTGGTTGTTAGAAGCAACTGAGGAGTGGTCACTCCTCTTTTTACTACCGGGGAACCTTCCAGGATGGGAGGTAGAGAGAGGGGCGAGTGGCCCCACTGGCCCAGGTTCCAGATGCTCACAAGGCAGGAACAGTTATCCCTTAAGAGGGAAAATGCAGAGGCTCATCTTGAAGAAGGAAGGGGGCTGTTACTGAAAACAACAGATATTTCCGATGTGCTCTGCACACTGGAGTTTAACAAAGGATAAAAAAAATTCTGTAGTCCGTGTGAAAACCAACTGTGGTGTAACATGCTGAGCAATGTATGTGTTTAGATCATCTGATGCACAAAAGAAACTGAAAGGTGTTTTTCAGTTCAGCTTAGCAACAGCGTTGCCTGAGGAACTGCTTTAAAAGACAGTAAAGAAAAAAAACCACTCAAACAATTAAGCACCCGCCAACAAGTGTGTTGCTAATAAAAGGTGTTTCTCTCCTCTTTTATTGTGTAATACTTTATCACAGAAACATGATATTTACATATATACAGACTGCTGATCATAAAATCTTACTGAAGAATTAGTCAAAAAAATCAATTTACAAAAACCAAAAGCTGTCAAGAGAGATTCTGGGTGCAAAAAGTCATTGAAGTTCCTAGGGAACAGTTCTGTACAGATAAGGTTTTTAGTTCTTCAGGTTTTGATAACTTTAGACAAAAGAGATCTGAACCAAAATGAGCTAAATTTGTCGGCTGTACATTTGAGATGAGGCAGTTTTTTAAAGTGTTCCTCTTCACACCGTTTTCTTGATGGTCAATTCAACAAGTCTCAGGAGGCACTAGTTTGTATGTTTTTGGAAGCCGCAAGCATCGCTCTCACTTTGGCCATTAGATCCTATAGGGAGTAGAGAGGAAAAATCGTCAGAAGTTTCCTTAGTTTTTAATCAAGAGTTTGAAATGGAGAACTGTCTGCACTAAAGTCAGCAGTCCTACTGGTAAGTTTCCCAGAGGGTGAATACACTCAGTCAGGACTTAAAAGCACTGGCCTCTTGATTTCACAAAACCACATACTATAATTTTAAACTAATATATATATATAACAAAAGGAAACTTTTTAAATAGCTAAGAATTAAATCTCACTGTAAAAAATCTCAATAGGAAAGAGAAATGAAACAACAAATGATAGGGTAGAACATGTGTGAGCTGAGTAGGTGGAAAGAATGGAACTGAGGCAGTGGCTATACACAATACAACACAAGATGAAGGGCATACATTGCAGCATGAACTTTCATTTTCATGATACGCTGATTCCAATGGTACCAAGCCGCCCTCCCCCCCACCCCAAAAAAGAGAATTTGGAGAAGACTCTTGCTGCAGCAATTAAAATTCACCTTTAGAACACTAGTATACAGTATTTTAAACAAGTACTTCCACAAAGTCAGAATGAAATATAAGAGAGCTCCTGTCCAGAGTCACAGCACTTAATTCGGTCCTGCCAATATCCAGTAGAGGCAGTTCCTCACAAAAGAAATGTAATTTTATGTAAGTTGAGCCTGATGGCTTCTGTGAAGCTTTATGACTACAAAATATTTTAAAAAAGCTTCTGAATACCAAATGCAAAATTACTAAAAATGTGTTTACTTTGAAAGAGTAATATCCATCTTCCATAATGCATGTCAAAAGATGACTTGCTATACATAGGCTAAAAGATAATATCTAGCACTTAGACTGCTTTTCATCTGTAGATCTAAAAACACTTTACAAAGTATGTCAATATCATTATCGTCACTTTATAGACGGGGAAACTGAGGCCAGGAAGGGCCACCACTTGCTCAAAGTTACCCAGCAGGTAACACAGCTTTTCCGAGTCCCAATAAAGTGCTCTATCCACTGGCAAAATTAATTTACTTGTGTTTCAGAAATCTGTGAGACCTGAATGTAAGTCTGATTTGGAGAAACAGCACAGAAATTCCACTAACAAAAGCACACTCCTCCTCTTTTTGCAAACAGTAACTGTTTTAACTACTATTGAAATGTTGGAGCTGTCCTTCAGACATATTTTAACATTTACTGCAGCTGAGAAGCCGACATCAAAGGCTGTAGATAATACCTTTTCTCTTGTTACGATTGTGTTTTGAGCAAAAGCTCAAATACAAACTGCTTGTCACAGAAACAATTTAGTCTATCTAGGAGCTATTTGTAACAATAAAAACCTGTCTCAATTATGCTTTTCTAACTGATACTTAATTCACTCCAAGGACCCTAGCACCTCTTATAGCTAACTAATAATTAGTTACTTGGCAGATTACTAAGAGCTATGTACTAAGAAAACTGTCTCTATTTTCCCCCTCTGGTTGCTATATTTCTGATTCCTTTTCTTGGTTTTTCTTTCTGCAGCAAAAAGTAAAAAAGTATTTTGGAAGTGTGTTCCTTTGACAGAGCAATGGGTAAAGTACTAGCCACTTGTGTATAAAGGAATTACATTTAAGAACAGTTTTCATTTTCCGGAAGAATCATCAATTTCTACAAAATGGGAAAAACAAATAGCGTGCGCACACACGCACACAAAAGTCATCAAGGGCCAAATTTCTCCATAGCAATTGTGCTTCTGAAAATGATAAAAACTGTAATTAAGGCATTATAACAGTCTTCCTCAAAACTGACATATACAAAGGAAGTTAAATACTCTCATTTAGAAACTAAGCTACTGAATCAAATTAAAATTTTATGTGGATTATCTTTTTTAAAAGAAATGGAATATAGTTTGAATATCAACTCAATATTTTCTTAATATTAATTGTGTTAAAGGAAATAAATGTATTAAATAGCTTTAAAACATCATTTTGATTAGCATAAGAAACAAGCCTTTGATGAAACCATTCATAATGTTAAAGTCATGAAGTGATCCACAGCAAAATAACGTACATCTATATTATGCCTAAATGGCAAATAAGTCTTACTACACCTGTTTAAAAAAAAAGTGGTTCTTGTGGTACTATTATATTTAAGGGACTTCCTGTTACAAATAACCTATTTTTACATTTATAATTCAGTACCAGAAGAAAAACTTTAGAAAGTATTATTTTTGTCTATTTTCAGGCAAAATTTTAATAGGATGTGTAGCATCCACAGACACAGTAGTAAAAAAAACAACCACCACCCTAATCTATAAAAATTAGAGATGCAAAGAGATAAGCACGCCCCTGCAGACATGAAGGCCCCATTACCTACTAGGACTTCTTGTTTTACATACCCCTCTGTATACACATCTCTCACACACACACGGAGAATGAAGTCTGTTAACACAAAACAAAACCCTACAGCAAACCGTGGGGTAAATGGGGCGAGGGAAGCATGGTCAGCTGAAAACTCCTCCCTAGAGCTCAGAATGAAATGTTTCCTATTTCCAAGCACCACACTCACATCTCTTACACCTCTACATTCCATCTATATTTCTTGTGAAATGCAGTACAGAATGCACTTCAATTGGAAGTCCATTTCAACTCTTTTTAACTCTTCCATTATGCCTACGCATTGCAATGATGATTTTCCAAAAACTGGGTGATCCTATTACTGTTGAAATTCACTCGTCTGGATAGTACAGTATGATACTAGATCAGTGTCCCAGCGTTCACTCAAATTTTCTAGCTGTAGCTGGCAGATATTTTTATGCAGAACAATATTGCCAATGACTGAACAGTTTCTAGAAATAGTCTTTTCTACTTTTATTTTATCACCCCTATGCCTGGTTAAGCCTTCCCCACCAATGACAACTGTTTAAGCAAAAGTAAAGAATATTTAATATAACAGAAGCAGTTCTGCTCTGAAAAAGGTCTCAGTAAAAATGGCATCCATGTTTATTAGGTCTCAGTGACATAAATATTAAATATTGACAGTTTACAAGAAAAATGATTTTGCCCCCACACGAGCTTTGCAAACTTAACCTGGTGTCAAGATAGGTTCTTCAATAAAAGATGCTGCATGGCAAATTAGACTCAGTAATTTTTGCCACTGATGACTGAATTGCACAGTCTCATTCAAAGCATAATTCAGCCTGTTGTACTTTTATTACTGGTTATGGTGTAATATAAGGCCAGGTAAAGTTTGCAAGCATAGCAGTTGGAAAAACTATTTTATTGTACAATGAACTATTTTAATATTAAAACAAAGAGCATGGACTCCCACCATACTTAAAGTTCTACATCACACAATTATACAAAATACCTAAAGGAGCATGCTACAATGATGGTAATACACTTCATTAAATAATAAAGAACGTCTTAATTTATACCTGAGTTATTTTACTTTGCACTGAAGACACGATTGCTGAAGAGATCTGGCCATCTTTTTCCTGAGAAACGCCCCTAAAAATTAAAACTTAAGAATTAGAAATGTATATATTTTCTAGCTATATCTCAGGCAACAATTCTGTCTTGTATGTGCATAAGCCTCCCTCATATTGCTCAATAGTTTTTATGTTTCACTGGACTATAATCAATACAGGTCACTGTCACAGAGGTCATCTCTCACATACCTGTGGCCAATGCTATAGAGCTGGGGTTCTCAAACTGGGGGTTGGGACCCCTCAGGAGGTCGCGAGTTAATTACATTGGGGGGGAGGGGAGGCAGGTTTTGCAAGCTGTCAGCCTCTACCCAAAACCCTGCTTTGCCTTCAGCATTTATAATGGTGTTAACTATATAAAAAAGTGTTTTTAATTGGGGGGGAGGGGGTCCACACTCAAAGGCTTGCTGTGTGAAAGGGGTCACCAGCACAAAAGTTTGAGAACTACTGCTATAGAAAGCTCTGAGTACCAGTGCAGAAACTGTGAACAGACTCTACTCAATGGGTAATTCAGTTAGGAATCCTCAACAACAATTACAATCAAAAGGAAAAACAAAGAAATCCATCCCAACAAAGTGTTATGATTTTTAGTAACTTTAACCACCTTTTAACTGTATGATTATGGCGGTCTCAGTAGCATCACTTTGGTTCAAGTTGCACTGAGATGTCTATATGGAAAAGGAGCGCTATTCCTGTTGTGTCTCCCTTAAATGACTGTTTCATCTCTCACATTTTACACTCACTCTTCCCTGGGCAATTGAGTTCTCTAGCATTTCCTCCCGCCTGAAATATTTTTTTAGAAAATTCACCCTTTTTGAAAGTTGGCCCTGAGAGTCTCATAGGGTTCCCACAATCTCAGGTCCCCAGCACAGTTCTAGTACCCCCTCGCCCCCCGCAACCACACTGACTCACAGCCCTAACTTCTTGGAGCTCTGCATAACTTGTATTACAACTCTCCATGCACAAATCCAATCAAAAGGTACATTCATGGTCAAAAGCTGTCAGTATCACCATATGCCCTTGTGAAAGTGTTACCTGGAGCGTTCTTGGCTGGATTCCCTACTCTCCACAGGAGACACACTAGTTGAATGTACAGAGTTCTTCTGTGTGGACTGTTTGCCTGGTGACATGGATGGTGAATGAGACCTAGCTTTGGACTTGGTACATGATCTAGACCGTCGTTGTTTCTTCTTCTTTTCATGTGGGCTTCTGAAAAAGGAAGCATTTTATTGGAGGAGATTTAAAATTATATGTTGTTAACCAGTTTAAGCAGAAATCATATTAGACATTTCTAACAGATTTTCTAGGCCTCCTGGATGAAGTGCTCCTTGTGCATCGAGTACGCACTGTAACCATCATACCATGGGTAGTTATAGTCCTATGATAGTAGGAAGGAAAAACTCACAGGAGTCCTCATACTTAACCTATACATTATGATTCCCAGACTTCAACCCAGTACCTGAGCATTAAGAGTACTTGCGCCTCAGCCCTTACTTGACCTTCACAGAAACACAGGAATTAACATACCAATCAGGAATCAGATGTTTCAGAGGAAGGTGCAAGAAAATCCTGTAATGGACAATTATAAAATAACCTGGCTGTAGGGAAAGTTTGATTCTAACTCCCTAATGACCTGAAGCATGAGTGTTCACAGTCTTTATTTTTTAATTCATTCTAAAAGAACTATGGACAGTCTCATCTAAAAGTCAAACTGATACCTTATATTTTCCTTCTAAGCTAACAAATCTGCTTCTGTGACCAAACCTACTGCATGACAAACTTCAGTCCGAAACAAAATTACAACTGAGCTACTGTATATCTCCAATAGTCCTACCCAAAGCAATATGCTTGGGATTGCTTTGAGTAGACAATATGACCGTTCGCTATAACTGACAATCACTACTATAAAAACAGGAACAAAGTAGACTTATGGATACATAAAACTATTTTTATTGTTGACAAAACAAGGGGACTACACAAATATTCTAAAACTATATCCAGCACTGAACTCTAGTGTTGAATTCTCCTGGTAAAACTGGAGACTGAGTAATCTAGATCTTTATAGCTGACTATGAATTTACAGACTAACATCTCAGTTGTGTAATTAAGATTACTGAATCAACCTCCATGCAACAATTCATTGTATTCCTGTCCCCCTACTCTCCTACTTTACATTCTCTCCATTTTTAAAAGCTTAACAAAAAACAAACTATTAATGTCCACTAAGGAATCCACAAAGTTTTGCTATAACTTTTACAGTCTACCATTGGAAGTAGCTTATGAGTTGCTTGATGCTTCTACTGTGCCTTAACATTTCAAGCCACATTCTAAATGTCACAGTTATTAACTCACTCCAATTTCCATGGAATTTTTCACCCCTGAATAGCCCAATTAATGTACTTTTTAGTGTATTTACTAGCCTAAAAGAGTATCTTTAATCAGAAAGTTATAATAATGTATGGAATGAAGTTCTTGAAAATTTATGATTTCCTAAAAAAGCCTAGCACATCTCTGGAAGATGAGAAAAGAAAAAAGTGTCTTACATTTCTGTGCTTAGTATTTTTCAGGATAAATGGTGGTAAAGTTGTAAAAGTACAGTCTTTAAAGCACTATATATACCCCACATCATTCTCTACATCTTATTCTTTTGGGTAAGATTTCCAGCGAGTTAACATTAGTAACCAAAAGGTATTGTTCAGAGCAGTCAGTGGAATAATTATTATGTTTTAGATGATTACTTTCGGACTGCACATAGTACTTAATACATTCTATAAAATGAAGAATTGATAACATTAAACACTAACTTGCTTAGGGAATAAAACTTCAATTTTGTTGTATCAATATAGTATGAAAAATGGCAAACAAGTACTGTACACAGCTTAAGACTTAATCCAGGCAGATACTTCACCTTTGAAATATCAGTTAACATTCAGAAGTAAAAAAACCCCCAATCTTATAATTACAAAACTCTTACACTTTTACTTGCATTTTAAAACAGAAAACAATATTCATGACAAAAACAAATACATTAATTACTTATACTTACCAAGTGATACTGAACATCAGACAAGTTCACGGACCTATTTAAGCTCTCCATTACCATAAGGAGCAAAGCCATAGGAATCAGCTATCCCTTGACTAGTAAACTCTGTATTTTAATTGCTGTGTTTCTTAAGCAGCAAACTATAATTTTGTGCTATGAAAATATTTCATAGAGCATGAGAAGTTTTGAATAGTGCTTTTCTAAAAGTAAAAATGTGTTTCACTGTAAGCTTTTTTATTTTATAAGTTTTTATTCTAACAACATGTAATGACACACTGGTAGTAAAATATCAAACAATATTATACTAATCACATCTCAATTTTCCATGGCTTATTTTTCAACAGCACATACCATAAACAGGATGTACTTATAAACAGTGTCCCAAATCTCTCTCTCTATCTGGAGTGGACGTACCATACACATTCTTAAACTAAGGCCATTTCTTGTTGTCACTTTTTGATTTGAACATACTCTACTTTTTTCACCAAGCTCTTTGTAGGTTGATTATTACATGCAATTTAGAAATACAGAAAGAGGACCTACACTGGAAAAGGCAATCAGATGTACTCTAGAAATATGTCCTACTATACTTAATGAACAAGAGGTCGCTAATTCATTGAAGTTGACACAAGGAAAGCTGGCTTCTGGGTCCTTGCAGGTAGTATGTTTTCCATTCATAAAAATCCTACAGGCCTGCTTCACTCATGATTTTTTGCCTAGAAATCCTTCGCTGAACCCTAGTAATATGACTAGCAAGCTCCCAGAACTGGCTGCATGTTTGTTTCTGTCTAATACTGTTTCTCCAGTTGTTTGAATTTTTGGCATTTACTGCCAGTTTTTATTATGCATTGTTCAGTGAACTATACCCATAAGACCTTAGTTTCAGCTTTGTGCTGGAGATCTGCTATATGGTTTCTAGCCATATTAAGAGTATAATGCTATTTAAAATAATTTTAAAGGATAAAAACAGATTTCCTTCTTGAATCATGGAGCCCTTCAAACCAAGCAGCCACAATTCAGCACCCCTAGTAGTGTAGCAACTGTAAGAATCCTCTATTCATTTAAACTACTGAATGGTCAGCCACTCATACCACTAAATACTGAACTTAAGTGTATGCACACCTAGTGCATGACTTGGGGGAAAGGATTCATTTTACTTGACATTCTGGTTTTTCAGGGAAAGGGAGAAGGTTAGACTTATGAATGTTGAGTCTTCTGATCTACTTGACCTAATCCACCAGGAGTCTGCAACAGGGTCTTTTGTTACTATGAGGCAATAAATATGGAAAACGAATTCACCGGATGAAGTAAACTGGTGACGTTTCCTTTAAACCAGGGGTTCTCAACCTTTTTCTTTTTGAGCCCCCCTCCCGCTCCAACATGCTATAAAAACTCCAGGGTCCAGAGGAGAGGGGGTGTTGAGGGGGCCTCAGGGCTTTAGCCCTGTGGGGTGCCAGAGCTCTGGCCAGGCCCCATAGGCGTAGTTTGACTTTTATTTTGCTGGGGCAGGGCCCGGTGGGGCTTGGGCCAGCTCTGCACAGCAGAGCCAGGGGAGAGAGCACCACCTCCACCCTGACTCACCTCAGCAGGCCACGCAGGCTGTCTGAGTTGGGTTAGGGTGCAACCAAAAATTATAACTCAAAGGGAAGGGTGTGGTCAGCTCAAAAAGTATGAAAACTGCTCAGGGTGCAGGCAGGGTGCAGCTAGGAACTGTATGCACATAGGGGGGTAGCTCAGGGTGTAGAAAGCAGGGGTGGGGGTGGGAAGGGAATCTAGGGGCTGTGTGCCGGCAGGGGCACTCTGTGGTTCCTGCTCCCAGGGGCTCTGCTGGTCTCCCAGGTCCCCCCACCCAGGTGGCTCCTACTGGTTGCATAAGCAGTCAAAGGGGGCTGGGGAGCTTTGCGCACCAGCAGCAGGAGATGGGGGTGTGCTGCAGCTGCCCGCCTAATGGTACCAGCGAAAGCAGCAGCTGCCCTGCATTGCCTGGCTCCAAATTCCTGCTTCCAAGTTGGCCAGGAGGCAGGGGAGAGGAGGAGGTGGGGTATGTGTCTGTGCCTCCGGACTGCTCCACTTTGGTTAAGGAACTGCAACTTAACTCATGGGCTCAGGGCTTCTCCTCATGGATCCATACAGGCCCGTGGACCCCTGGTTGAGAACCGCTGCTTTGAACTGTGCGATCACCCCCTTTATTAATAAGTTGCAGGAGTATGCAACTTGGATTCTACCAGGTTTTTAATTTTTGCTATCAGTACGAGAGTAAAAGGACGTATTATTCCTCAACTTGGATGCACTGCTGCTCTGCAATGGGATACATGATAGGAGGGAGGCATAGCTCAGTGGTTTGTGCATTGGCCTGTTAAACCCAGGGTTGTGAGTTCAATCCTTGAGGGGGCCATTTAGGGATCTGGGGCAAAAAGTGGGGATTGGTCCTGCTTTGAGCAGGGGGTTGGACTAGATGACCTCCAGAGGTCCCTTCCACCCTGATATTCTATGATTCTATAGGGATTATTCTCATTTTTTAAAAAATAAGACAAGTGGAGACCAAGTACTTTTTTTTAACCAAACATGGACAACAATGAAAACAACTTGCTCCTTTCCCACCCCACAACAGAGAGGCAACCTAAATTTGGGACTGAATAGGATTCAGAGACAGGCATATGAAATTGTGACATGCACACTTTAGATGCAGTTACCCCAAAGAGCGCATCTAATTTAGCTTTGTGAGTGCATATGCATGTGTGTGCTCCCAAGCTGATGACTGCACACATTGCACAAATATCTGCACATCTAAACTGAGAGTGCATGGTCTCCCATGGGGGAAGGACGGTAGCCAGACACTGGGAATTCCAAGTACAAATCTGAACGGTTTCCAATATTTGCAGGAAGGAAAGCACAGCAAAGATGTTTCAGACTGGGAAAGGGTTAGAATACTCTAACTACAGTGCATCAAGCAGCAAGCATGAACTGTAAAATAACCTGTCACTGTACTAGATACATCCAAAGCATGTACATGCTCATCACTTTATGATGTAGACCTGTACATACATTCTATACAGGAGGGACCAGTGTTTCTACTGCAAACTGTTTTTTCACAGGTTGGCTTGTTACTCATTATATAATGCATGGCTGAACCAAAGCCTCAGCTCACAAAAGAAACAAGCTTTACATAAACAGTACACACACAGCAACACACAATATTTAAAACTCCAAATAGGGCATTTGTCATGACTGGTGCACATACCTGGAACGTGTGCGTTTCCTACTCATTCCAGGACTGTTACTAATGCGATAAGCCGTTGGAACAGCCCTTTCCTCTCTTCGCCTTTCAGGTGAGTGGACCCTTCTCCGTGGAGATCTCGATCGTGACCTGACCGGGAGGGAAAAAAGTTTTATTTTTTGTTGTTGTTATTGCCGTAATTTGTTGTATTATTTTTATTTCAGTGGAATATGTTGTCATCAAACCCAACTATGGTGCCATTCAAATGCTTATTTGATTTCATATCAACATGGGATATTCCCAGTCTCTAAGGCTTGCCAGGGTCACGAGGGTTTCTCACCATCAAAATATTTTATTTATATTTATGAGAATGAATTACTTGCTCTTCACTCTCAACAGGGGAAGAGGTGCCACGTGAACCACTCTCAACTCATATTTGCATTGGGATGTCAGTGCAGTTAGTCAGTTACCTCTCATGGGAGACAGTTTGCTAACTGTTATGCTTAAGTCCATTTTGGTTTAAAGCCTAGAATCTTAAAGTTAGACTTGACTTTGCCTTTCCAAATTAGCAGCATGCTCTAGTGTTGCTGCATCATGCAGGTAAATTGAAAACAAACAGTGAAGAGACTGAGTTAAAAAGATCATTTTGATTTGAAATTTGTAAGTTTCCTCTGAATATTGACAAGTCAAAGAAATTCTGTTCCTTATGCTGCAGGAAAATCCTGATTATTCAATACTTTCAACCTATGCAACTGACTAACTCCTGACCAAGACTGTTTAGCATTAGCACTTCAACTTGAAATGTCTGCCCTACAGAGAGAAACAGAGCGCGCCCAGTTAAGATCAGAGATCAATGTAAGAGCGCACGCTTATCTCAAAGATTTAAGGCTAAATGTTTGTAAAAGTAAAACCTGAGCATTTCCCAATAGAGAATACATACAATAAGAAAAAAGCAAAAATCTTTCCTTTATTTAGCTCTGTTCCCAATAAGATATGTAGATCTAATCATTTTGCTTAGGGATTTTGAATTTTTACTCCACTCTCCTTTATACAAGACACTTTACCCTATGTACCTCAAGCATTCATTTTCTTCAGAAAACCTAACTTTGCAATGACTAAGAGACAAGCCATTTGTAAATCATAGATCCTATTACAGTCAAACAGACCTACTGAAAGGAAAATCACAACAGCAGTTAAGTACTGTATTGCTATTTAACTGCTTTTTCACTTAGAAATCTGACCTTTACCAGGCCTTTCAGAAGGATTAAAGGAAAAAACAGATTATAAAGTTTGAGGTCAGTCAGACACCTTGACGTTTTACCAGGATTTCCCTCTAAAGAGCTCCAGCAGTCAAATCTTTTCGTTGTCGAAGCTGCCTGATAATTTTCTCGCTCTGTTCCTGCTGCCATTGATGAGTTGCTCAGACTCGGCTCCATGCTCAGTGTCCCTGTGGATGCTGTGAGTCTGTGATATGGAGGCACACACTTCACATTGAGAATAAATGTGCTAGTTTTGGTATTAACTAGAATCCTGAAAAGACTTAATCCCTTAACCAAAGCTGAACCTTAGTGAAAGCATGCTTATATGGACCAGCCTACAAAAGTCCAAACAATCAGAAAAACGCATTAGCTTAAAATATTTATGAATTGGGTATGATTGTTTTGGTTCTATAACATTTTTGCAATCACTTCAACCTGAAGAGATTTAGCCACTAGCCTTCAAATGATTAAAAAATGGCTTAACTTTCTCATTGGAATATATGGAATTATTATTTTAACTAGAATTCATGAGACATTCATAAGGCATTGTACTCCTTTAAATAAAGTAAGTTAATACCAGTCATATTGTTTAATAGGCTCTCTTAGAAGTTCATTATTCTATAAAGTTGTCAAGTCACATTATATCTGAAGAAAGCGGAAGTAATTGAATAGATATTGCCTCCAAGATGAATAGATGAATTCTGGAGCAACAGGAAACACCCATTTTACAAATTAGGTGAGGGATTGCTATTTTGAGGTAAATTTTAGTTCAATTTTTGAAACCGGGCCAATGAAAAACATAGCACACATTTACCTATTCCATCCAACTTGGTTTACAAACTAACCCTTTAATGATGCATCCTGCTCCTAATTACTACCCATGGTTCATTAAGTGGATAAATGGAGTAGGTGGCTTAGCAGTAAGCTATTACTAAAGTACACCAGGAAAGTGATTAACATCAAATGGAAGTTTAGAGCTTCCAGCTCTACTCACAAGTTCAAAATGCAGACTTACATTTTATCTGCAAAATCATTAAATCATTCACTACGTAATGAGTTGCTTTGCAGCCCCTTTTCTCCTCCCTTCTTCCCACTCATGCCCCATGCATTATCCTAGATTTTGTTCTATGATGATCTATTTCATACAAAATAGGGAGATTCAGACTCTCATTAATATGGTCATTATTTACATTTACTGGTCATCAACTGTGAAATCTGAAACTTCTCAGCCAGAACATCATGCGCAAAACTTCAGTGATTGACATTCTATGCTACTAAAACAGAGCACCACTATCAGACACAATTTATGTCAAATTTGTTATGGTGCTTTGAAGTTTATTAGAAAAAAAGGGCATTGATGGAGTGTTGACTACAGATAAACAACAGGGTCCCAAAACTTACTTGTTTTCCAAAATAGTTCTAACAAATTCACCCACATCTGTTTGGATTAGACTTTAATTATTAATTTGTGAATTTGAGGAAATATCTTTATGGAGCTAAAATGTCCACAGGAAGGAGGGCTGCAACACACTATGGGGCTATTGTGCATGCTTTATTGCTTTCTAAAACTCTAGATGCATCTTCTTGGTCTGCAATCAAATCCTTGGTATATCAAGAGCTTTAGGAACTAGTTTCAGGATACACATTTGGGAAGAGTAATGGAAGGAATACATATTTATGTAGAAGAGTCATTGTTAACATGACAAGGCCTGCAATAAAATTGATACAGCTGGGTTCCTCACATATCTACAGTTTTTTACCTTGTCTAGGAGAATTGCTTTGATCACATGTTTAAGCAATACCTAGTTAAATATCTTACATCAGCCTGAATCAGTGATGTTATTTGAACAGGAAGTGAATTCTGCAACTTCAACTGTAAGGTACAAGATTAAATTAAGTAAACTATTTAAAAATTAAGCTGTATTAACATCAATGGTGCATCATGTATATTTACTAAGCTGTGACTCTAGTATGTTAACAGTGTAAGAACAAAAAAATATATTGCACTCTTAGTCTCATTTATACCAAATAGCAAATTGCACTGGCAAATTGCTACCCTTCTAAAAATAAAACACCACACAAGGATTTTTTTAAAGTTATGTAAAAGCCTCTAAAAATCACTTGCTTGTGAGGCAAATTTGGCCTATCACTCGTACAAGAAAAAAGGCAAAACAAAAATTAAATATGCTCTGAAAAGTTAAACAAACATATATTTTTAGCTTCACTTCCCTCAGCTCATCCCCTATTAACTTGCTCCAACAAATTAACTACAATTATTATGCTGTACCAAATTATCCCTTGAGGATGTTATGCCCCAATGTATTTTTACAACTACATAAGCAATAGCAACTCAGGAGCCTGTAATTCAAATATCAAGGTACATGGAAAGTCAAATCAACCCCTATACACACATTCTTTAACATTTGAAAAGATCTAAACCAAAACAAATAATAGTTTTCCAAATGAAGTGAAATGTGTGCCAATAGGTCATTATTTGTTTACACATTTCACAACATAGAGTTCATTACTGTCCAATTAAAACATATCCTAATCAGTAATTTTGGAAAAAGTACAGCTTCTCTTTTGGCTGTCACAATTAATTTAAACTACTAATTTAAACAGCTTCAGACCCAAGACACAAATCTCTCCTGTGTAGATACATCAAGTTTAATGTGCTGGTCTGTCAAAAAGCTATGAAATTTTGGTAATTCTGAAAAGATATCCGCATTCTGGAGTGCTTTATTGAACAGGGTCGTAAGTCAAACTTAAAAAAAAAAAGTTAAACAGGAAGTCTCTCTCTCCGTAATTACTATCATTCTAATCTGCTCCAAGGGCAAAGTAATCACTGACAACTGCTGTTAAAATCTGAAGGTTAGGAACTGCTGCCTGCACAGCACAAAATAAGATTACAAAAGCATAACACACCTGTTTAAAATAGTTTTAAGGTTGACACAGACAAATAAAGCAACTGAGGGTATGGCTACACTATGGAGCTTACAGCAGCACAGCTGTGCCGCTGTAAGGTCTCCTGTGTGGCGGATCTATCCTGGAGGGAGAGAGTTCTCCCACGAGCATCATTAAACCACCCCCAACGAGCGGCGGTAGGTAAGTTGGTGGGAGAGCATCTCCCACTGACATAGCCCTGTCCACACCAGCACTTTTGTCAGCGAAACTTATGTCAGTTGGGGTGTGTTTTTTTCACACCTCTGACGAATAAAAGTTTTGTTGACAAATCTGCTAGTGTAGACAGAGCCTAAGGCTGTTAGAATTTATGTAATTTAATACCAGTGTCCAGGCATTATACGAAAGTAGCCCTTTATCCCAGGTCACTGAGTGGGGCTACTCATCATAGATCAATCTTTACAAATAGTTTTGAGTAATGGATTACAAGTGGGAAACAATATACTTCTAATTAGTCTCTACATCTAAATAAGGTATGGTATGGTAGGAAGTCATAACACTGGGTCTTGTGGGAATCTAAAGACTGAGCAACATGCTTCTTGCTACAAAACAAGGCATACAAAACAAGAAAGATGTGTGAGAAGCCACATTTTATATGCAACATGACAATGCAATGCTTTAACAGCTCTATTGAAATGATTCCGACTTATCTACCAATTCAATTGCAAAGGTGTTAAACTTGCTTTAGTATTAGGTCACAGACCGTGAGTTACTTCAATTTAATTTTTTTCCATTTCACATTGGTGTCGAAGCTCATATTTAACATTTTGACACAGGAACGTCTTCATAAACTTACGCTGAAATCATTTTGTAATACTGTCCATTGTAATATTGTCTTGAGAAACTTTCAGCTAAATTGTTTTACCAGTGTGGTCATGTCATCATTATCTTTACAGGCTTGCATTGATAATGATTTGCCATTGTCCTGATACTGTAAAATTGTAGCCACAAGCATTCCAACATGACACAAAAGCCTTGTTTTTTACCCAGATTTCTGGGGAGTGATGAACATCAGGGCAATTTGATAGGTCTGGATTGGATTGCCATTTCTGACTGGTTATTCTGTTCTAGGGAGCTGTTATTTTTGTCAGTGTACTTTTACAGTTACGTCAAGGGTACAAAGACCTAAAGTAGGCACTTCCCTCTTTTTGTTGTGTATCTAAATCATTGTCTTCCGAACATATTGGGATCACAGCATCTATAAAAACACAATTACAGTTACGGTTGAAATGTTTTGTTTCAACATTGCAGTGTCATGCATGCAGAGCCTATCCGCATGTTATGGGAGCTATTTTTACAAAAAAGATTTTATGAAGGTGACAAGTACCAAGCATATTCAACAAGATTTATAAAATTTTGATGTCAGTTGGTTCTAAACTTTAACGAAAACAAACCAGCAATGCCTACTTAAAGGATTCTTGTCTTTCAATTAATCCTTTTCTGTCTAGAACTTGGCAAAGAAAGGGAAGACACTGTACCCAGAAGATTTTTTTTTTAAAAATATCTTCTTACTAAATACTCTGTAAAGATAAATGAATTCCTCTTTGTAAGCAAACGAGCCTGGAAAAATAAACCTTATGCTTACATTAGCCTGAAAGTGACAAGGAAAGCAAGCCAAGGCCTGTTCAGAGTTGCATGAGGAAAGCTGAAGTTATGTACACTCATATGTGCGTTTAAATAGGTACATAGCATACATGTAAAACCCTACGATCAACATTAGAAAATACTGTGAGACAGCAAAACACTGTTTTGAGACCCATTCACTTGAGATCAGATTCTTCTATGTTCACTGGAGCTGCAGCTGTACCCTCTGTCCCAAAGATACAAGGGATGAAGTGGGGCCAACTGCCACAGTTCCTTTGCCAAAACTGTTTCCTACAGGAGTAGGTCTCCACATTAGCAGGGAAGGATGGTGAACCAGGGGACCCGTGTGGGCAACACATTTTGAAGAATCAGTTACTGTAGGATAAGTAACTGTTCTTTTTTCTTCAAGTGATTGTCTACACAGATTCCACTGTTGGTGACTAACAAGTACTTGTCTACTTGCTTGGCAGTGGGTATGTAGAGTCCAGCCTAAAGGCCAATGCAGGACTGATCTACTGAAATTGGCAACCAGTTTGGAGGCCTGTACTAGGGAATGCATAGTAAATGTGTGGATCAAGTTCCATTCTTCTGTTCTATACACCTCAGGTATGGGTATATTACCCGAACAGGCACCTAAGTCTGAGCCCTTGTGGAAGTCAC